ATTTTTCCCTTTTGTTGCTGGTATTTAAAAGTATTAAGGGCTGGCAAGATAGCTCAGCGGACTAAGTGCCTGCTTTAGTAGGCGCAGGGACCAGGGTTCAATCCCTGGTCCCACACACTGTGCCAGCCCCGCCCCAGGAATGTGCTGAGCAGGTGAAAGAGTCCAGATGTGGTGGCACACTCCTGTAATCCCAGCACTGGGGAGGCTGAAAATAGGAGGAGCACTACAAGTCCAAGCGTAGTGAGACCCTGTACCAAATACATAAAATGAAAAATAAAATAAAATAAAATAAAAAAAATTTTTTTAAAGTAAAAACCTGCAAGCAGGGGCTGGGGGTTCAATCCCCAGGCCTGCCATGCTGGCCCCACCCCCAGGGCGCTCTGAGACGGCAATTGAAACTGGGCATGATGGCACGTGCCTGTAATCCCAGCTTTTGGGCAGCTGTAAACAAATGGATCACTATGAGTCTGATCTAGTAGTGAGACCCTGAACACCCTGTAGACCCTTCCCTAAAATAACAAAAAATAAATAAATAAATTAAAAATAAAAACATTAAATTTATATATTTACCATATCTTGTCACCTTGCTAGATTCACTTAATTCTAATAATTTGTCCTTATATTCCTTTGCATTTTTCGCCTAAACAGTCAGGTCATTTACATGATGATCATGGTTTAATTTTCTTCCTCCCAGCTATTTCCCTCTCACTTCCCTTGCCTGCCAAGGCGGGCCCTCTGTTCAGGTTGAGTGGCAGTGGGCCTCACAGTCACCACACCCTGTGAGAAGGGATCTGCTTGTGTATTTTCTGCAAAATTTTAGAAGTTGCCCCAGTGGTGAATTTGACCGCAGGGGGCTGGGCTGTTTTCCTATCCAGCCACAGTGCCTTCCTCTGGTTAATAGTTAAGAGTGAAATGGATTTAAATAAGGAGATACTTAGGACTTATCCTCAGTATTTACCTCTGTTTTGTACATTTTGGATGATTTTGCAGATTGTTGATTGATGGATCTCCATGACTTTGTTGATTTTTTTTCTTGTTTGTTTTGTTTTTCTTGTTTGTTTTGGGGAGTAAATGCAGGGCCTTTGCACAGCATGACTTTCCCAGCCCTTTTGTATTCTGAGCAGGCTCTGGCTAAGTTGCCCAATTTAGATCTGGCTGGATGCTGTAAACCTTTTGCTTCAGCCTCCCTGCATGCTGAGATTGTACGTATGCAGCACTATAAGTGGCTACTTGACTGAAGAGAGTATTCCAGTGTAAAAGAGACTTGTTGAAGGCAAGTCTGACCTCTGGATTTGCAGCAGCTATTGAGAGTTTACCTTAGCAGCATATTCCCAGTTTTTACAAGGAATCCCTGCAAAAGTGGCCTGATTGCCCAGATTTAGTAGAACTCCCCAGCACAAGAAAGTTGTGGTGCCCACCTGTCTATAGCCAGGGTCCTGTCTCTGAGGCCACCAGCTGGGAGAGGTGTTCAGATGTGCTTCCCAGAGTCAGGGAGGGAAGAGAAAATGACCAGAAGGGAAGCCTGCAGAGTGACTTTATGGAGGAACCTGGTGACGTGCAGGAAGGGAACTGTGTTTTTCTTTCCAGGGCCTTCTGAGCCAGAGCAGAGCAGCACTGGCAGTTCTGGTGACCATTAGCAGCTGTTGTCAAAATTAACATTGATGCCGCCTAGTCCACACAGAGTCTCAGTGAAGGTGACAGGGAATGTAGGAAAGAGTGGTATGGCCCATGGTGTCATCCTGTCCTTCATCTAGGAGTGTCTGTGGATAACCAAGACTGCCAGGTTTGCTGCCCCATGGAGCCACACCCTGGGCAGAGGTGAGGTTAGGGGAAGCATCCAGGACTCCATGGCCATCACTGACTCCCACAGCCATGTTTGACACCTCTGCTTCTTCCATTCCCATGTCAGACATTTCCTCCAAGTCAGCCTATCTTTAGGATGCCTGTGGAGCCATCTCAGGCCTGTCCTGGCTGCACTGCACTGCAGAATCTTGGAGAATTTTTCTGCAAGGTGCATGCATTTGCAAATATCTGGAAACAAGTGGCCCAGCAATAAGGAGGTAACTAAGACACCTTTTCCCTTGCCCTCTGTGGGATAGCTAAGAGTACATTATACGCATGAATGTGTATGCAAGTAGACCCTGTACCAGGACACCCCACAGAACTGTCACTCAAAGAACCCTTCCCAGGTGCACCACAGCGAGGGTGAAACAGCCAAGGTCCCCCAGCTGTGTCCTCAGATGAGATGTGCCTGGTCCCCCAGTACATCCACTGAGCATTTCATTGGGTACAGTGGTACGTGTTGGTGCTCACCTATGTTCTCAGCTACTCAAGAGACTGAGGCCTGAGGATCCCAAATACAGGCCAGCTCAGGCAACTTAGTGAGATCCTGTCTCAAAATAAAACTAAAAAACACTGGGGAAGTAATACAGTGTTAGAATGCTTGCATAGTGCACATGGGATGCTGGTTCAGTCCCTGGGCCTACAAAAAATATAGGAGTAAAAAAAAAAAAAAAAAGGTGTTGTATGCACTTCATTCAAACCAAGAACTAGCCTCTCTGCTTTTAATCCTGTAACTAGGTTGCGGACTTTGTGTCTTTCCTGCCTTTTGCTCAGTCTGCATCCCTTGCTGTGGTGCACCTGGGAAGGGCTCTTTGGGTGACAGTTCTGTGGGGTGTCCTGGTACAGGGTCTACTTGCATGCACATTCATGTGTATAGTATACTCTTAGCTATCCCACAGAGGGCAAGGGAAGATGTCTTAGTTACCTCCTTATTGCTGGGACAAAATACCTGACCATCCATAAGTTAAAGTGGGAGGGTTTTATTTTGGCTCACAGTTTGTAGAGCTTTCAGTCTGTAGTTGGCTGGCTCCAAGGTAAGGCAGAGGGACAGAGCAAAGGAGAAGCAGTTCATGGCAAGGCAGGCCAGAAGTAGGAAATCAGGAGCCTTCTTTTCCCTTTTATCTCACTCAGGCTACAAGCCTGTTGGTTGATACCACCTGCACCCAGTTTGTGTTTTTCCATTAAACAGTGCAGTATCATACCCGTAACAGAAGCAACATCTATGAGCCTATGAGGTTTGGGGAGGACATTTATTTTTTATTTGTTATTTTTTTAAGTGTATTTTAGTATAGGGTCCTACAGGGTCTCTCTACACAGATCAGACTCAGTGATTCTTCTATTTGCATCCTCTCAAGCGCTGGGATTACAGGAGTGTACCACCATGCCCAGTCTCAATAGCCATCTCATTGTGCTCCGGGGGCGGGGCTGGCACAACACATCAGGGATCAAACCCCGGCCACTGTGCCCTGCCTAAGCAGGTGCTTTAGTCCTCTGAGCTATCTGGCCAGCCCTGGGAGGACATTTAAATATAAACCACAACAGAGGAGGAAGAGGGAGGCAAGATCAGGGGGACATCTGTGCTGCCTCTGGCAGGGGTCATACTGGTGTTGCCAGTGGATGATGCTGCCATGGTCCCAAGCAAAGGCCTCTCACCTTCCTTCTCCCACTCACAGGAGCCCACCTAAAACAAGGAAGGGGATGGGAGTAGCCCAGTCATTGCTCCCTCTCATCTGCAGGTAGGTCTTGGAAGAGTCATCTGAAGCAAGTATGGTCTCTGGCTAGAGGAGCCGGCTCGAGCCCACTGTGGGCCTCCCACATGGGACAGCAGTCCCAGAAGGCTTGACATTGGGCCCTCTGTGAGCCCTGGCAATCCAAGAGGAGAGACTGGCCTCTGTGTTCTGCTGTTACCTGGGGCATCATTTGGACTTTTTTTCTCCTTTCCCATGTGGCTCCATGGTAGTGCAGTGAGACTGAGCTGTGGCATGCCACCGGGCAGCGACTGCAGTTGCACCTGCAGGGCATCTGCTGCAGAATCATTCCAAGCCTGGCTTTGCGGCTGGCCGGCTCCTCCTGCAGCCCTGGCCCCCTGCAGACTGCAGATGCGCAGGCAGCTCGGCCTTCTGCAGGGAAGGGCAGAGCTCAGCCAAGGCTCCCTCCGGCTCCAGTAAGGCAGCTCTGCGTGCTGACCTCCTTTTTGGCTTTTACCTGGTTTTGTTTGGAATGGCTGGAGGACAGGACGCCCCAGATGGAGACAAGGCTGCGTGGAGGGCATTCGGCAGAGCATTCAGGGAAGAGAGCACCGGGGTCATCTGGGAACAGTGAATAGTCTCTGGGGCTCCATCCATCTTGCCTGTCAGGCTTCTTGGCAGCAACAGTTTAGAGAGCATTTCCTGCATTTGTGAGCATGAGATTTTAAGTCTTTTATGTGTGTTATTCACCTCTCTGAGTATGTGTGTACATGTGTTTGTGTTTGTGCATCCGAATGTTGTACATGTCCAGTGCAGGGTTTGTGCAGGGCATGTTTCAGTGTGTGCACTGGTGTGTACCCTCTGGCCTGGCAGTATCCAGGGTGGTCTTGGGGAAGTGGCAGATGTGCTGTCACAGAGGCTGACCAGCGCAGTGACTTGGCAAATTGACTGGGCCTTCCTTTTTAAAGTGAAGGGAGGACAGTGACCGATTGGCTCCATCTCACCTAGTCAGAGCACCACTGTCCTGGGGAATCTAGCCTGACACACACTGGGGGACCACTCAGATAGATGGACAGGGTCTTGGGTGGCATGGTGATCTGGCGGGGGCTGATGCTATGGTGGGGAGAGTATTTGATATGTTTGATGCCCAGGGCCATGGTGCAAGCTAAGGTATGTCATTGGGCTCCTGTAGGGCAGGTGTGGTTTCATCTGAGCCACAGGATGTGACATTTGGGCTGCCTACTCTGTGACTGCCCTGGCAAAATCTTTTCTGGAGATGCCTCAGCAGTTCTAAGGTTCTGCCTCCCCCTTCAAAGGGCATGACCAGGGGACAGAGCCTTTGTCCTCTAGATTTGCTTTGACAGCAACAACAGGTGTCAGAAGTGGCTTAATGAGATTCAAATCCAACAGGACCCAGCCAGTGGCCATAGTCAGACCTCTGGCCCTGTACCTGTATTGATCCTGTTTCAGGGATAAACGCCCAGGCCCGGAGGCTGCAGCGGATCCGTGCCAAGGGAACCCCGGGCCTGGCCCCAGGAGCTGCCTGCAGCTCCCCTCCACCCGGACTGCGTCGCACAGTCAGCGAGACCAGCCTGAGCCCATCCACCGGCCTGCCCGAAGCTGCCCAGGGTCCTGAAGAACCTGTCCGGGACACCATGCGCTGCTCCCTGTTCCAAGCCCCACACCTGCTGCTCCTGCAGGGCTACAGCCAGCAACACGTGAGCTGCCCCAGGGCCCAGAACATGACCTATTGGGCCCCTGACTGGGAGAAGGAGGTGGAGGTGAGGCGAGCTGGGGCAGCAGGAGAGGGGCACTGACGTGGGCCCCAGGGCCTGTGGAGAGCTCTTGAACTCTCTCCATACTGCTCTGGCTTCTGGGAATGGTGTGTGCAGGTTCCCAGAGCAGGGGATGGGCTGGCCTATTCCCTGTCCTAGTAATGGTGAGTGCTAAATCACAACTTTGTGCTGAAATTTTTCTGGGTAAGGCTTCACTGTCCCCACCAGCCAGAGCCACTTCTTGCCATTCTCTCTGGGCTCAAGCTGGCTTAGCCACCTCCTGCTGTGTGGCCGTGCTGCTTGTCACTTGCTCTCCAACTTCGTCCCCTTGTCCCTTCATCCTATCCCACCCTGCTGGGTTAGTGCCTTCCTATAGCTACTGGGCTGCAGCCTCAGGAGACACCTGTGGCAGCTGTGTGGTGAAGATGCCCGCACAGGCTGTGTGGGTGACCTTAGAGCCTGCCAAGGGCGGGCACAGGCGGAGGCAGCCAGGGTGGGTTTGTGCTGCTGCTGGCCTCAGCCTGCAGTCCCAACTGCAGAGTCTGGGACACCCATTCTATCCTGTTCTCACCTGTGGTATCACAGAGGTGGCACCCCTGCTGAGTTGTGCTTTTGCTTTTAGGACAGCCTAGTGTACATGCTCAATCGGGAGCGGCACACAGTGGGCCAGCGCACACCCTCCAGCAAGCCAAGCATCAGCCTGGCAGCCCCTGACATCCTGCCCTTGCACTGCACCATCCGCCGGTGCCCAGCCCCAGATGGCAGCCCTAAAGCATCCAGGCTGGTGCTGGAGCCCATTGCTGGGGCACCCGTGGCTGTCAACTTCTCCACAGTGAGCCGAGGTGCTGTGGTGCTGCGACATGGTGACCTGCTTTCTCTGGGCCTCTACTACCTGCTGCTCTTCAAGGACCCTGCACAGGCCCAGGTGCTGCCTGCTGGGGCCCTGGCCCACCTGCGGCCACCACAGAGCTGCAAGACATGTGGTGCTGCGCTGAGGGCCCACGGTGGTGCCGCCTGCTCACTGGCTGCTTGGCCTAGACAGCGGCGGCTGCTCCTGGAGTTTGAGCCTGAAGTGGAGGATGCACTGCTGCAGAGGATCATGACGCTGATCGAGCCAGGGGGCGATGACTACAAGCTGACACCCGCTTTCCTTCTCTGCCTCTGCATCCAGCACTCGGCCACACACTTTGAGCCCGGCACCTTTGGACGGCTGCTGCTCAAGATTGCCAGGAAGATCCGTGACACAGTCTGGGTGAGTGACACAGCTGGGGTGGCCTGGGCAGCAGTCCACCAGCTAAATTTGCTTGACCTGGGCATAAGGCCCACCACCAGTGGTTCCGCCTCCCAGCTGACAACAGTAGTAGTTTGACGTTACAGGCCACCTTCAGAGAGGTCTGGCCCTTTAGGATCCCCTGTCACTTTTGCACTCTGGCTTGCATCCCTTCCCCAGGTCCAGCCCAGCCTGATGCCTCCACATGCCCCAGTGAGGTGTCCTGGAGCCTGGGCATTTTAGGGAGCTCTCACTGGTCTTTTATAGGCATGGCACCTCGTACTTTCTGTCTAGCAAGCTGTCATCACTGTCGACCTTTATCAGCTGGTGGTTGAGGGTGATGGGATGGGTGGCTTTGTATCTGGCTGAGGTCTCCTCCCTGGAGGACCTCTCTGGGGTGGTACAGGGCAGTGAACAGTACCCACTCATGAGAGGCTCCCTCTTCTCCAGATACACACAGATGTCCCTGGCTTTGCCCTGGAAGGAGTTACTTGGCATTGCCATGTGGTTGGGCGGGGTGAGTGCTGGAGCAGGTAGCCCAGGGAACCCTGGCCTCAGCCTCCCAGCTAGCTCTGGTCCTCTTAGGATCTGAACTCCCAGGGACCCCAAGGATGGCTTGTCATTAACGGCTCAGGATTGTTCAGAGACTTTTGCTGATTTTGGTTGTACTTATCCTGGGCATGGAAGACCTGTATAGAAACCAAGTCAATTTCTTATATTAAATCTATGTTAAAAATGTTTGAAACTTTTAAAAAACAAAAGCCAGACAGGCTGTCCCACCCAAAGGTTTGTGTGGGTGATCCTTATGCAGTAGTGGTATTTAAGCCACATTTTCTGGTGTTCCTGGGTTGGTACTTGATATGGGGCCTCCTACAGTATGGCCCCTGTGGTATAGTCACTTGTGTGCGGCTGGAAAGTCTACAGCATGGGAACTGTCTGCTTCCTGGCTGCTGTTAACAAGAGTTACTCGATGGTTAAGTTGTGAAATTCCACATCATGACCATTTCCTGGGTGTGTTCTGTGCCTGGTCCCTACTAATGAACCAGATGCTCTTTGGTCTAGTTAATTCTCCCAGCCACCCTGATGGGGGGGTGATCCACGCCTCAAGTCACAGCCAGGAAACTGAGGCCAGGAGGGCACAAGTCACTTGCCCAGGGTTGGTGTAGCAGACAGAGGAGCAGGTTTCATCTGGTTCTAAGTAGTGCCCACCAGCATCACTGTGATCCCGTCTGCTACCACTGCGCAGCAGGGCCCATGACTCGTGCCACAAGCTGGGAACTGAAGCTGCCCCATAGGAGCTGCTTATTCAAGCCCTCGAGTTTGTTCAGGTCTCCTTGTGCCCCCAAGTGCTGCCCCCAGGGTCCCCTGTGAAGTTCACTTGCTCCCTTTTACTTCCTGAGCATGGACAGCTCTTACTCCCACTCCTGGGTCTCTCCGTGTCTGTCCAGGAGACAGGATGATACGCACAGCGTCTTTCGGCAACAGGGCCGGAGAAGAGCAGCTGCTCGGGTTCCATTCTGCAGATTCTGATGTGCCAGGAAAGCAAGCCCTGTTTCTTGGTTAAGGGTACAGCACAGAAAATGTTGGCTAAGCCAGAGTGCCTGTTGAGAAATTTAAATAGATTTATAAATAGCCAAACCTGTATACACCTGCTTGTTATTTCTGTGGCTGGTGTTTAAATGTGTAAGTATTAAGTGTAACACTGGAGAGTGATAGTAGCCTGTTCTTCCTAGTGTTTGGGAAATGTTTGTCCTGTCCCTGGAGTTTTTAATGGTTGGTTGTTCCGTGAGCCAGAAGGCCGTGTGCTGCTTCTATTGGAGGAAATGCTCAGGTCACAGTCAGAAGTGGGCAGGAAGACGTCTGAGTCCCTGGAAAATGTACTTTCCAACATGGCTAATGATAAATAGCACAGTACAGCAGAGCTGAGTGAGCAGTGAGCTGCTGCTCCTCCTCCTGCTCCTCCTCCTCCTCCTCCTCCTCTTCCTCCTCTTCTCCTCCTCCTCTTCCTCCTCCTCCTCCTCCCCTCCTCCTCCTCCTCTTCCTCCTCCTCCTCTTCTTCTTCCAACCACCCTCTTTTTTTTTGGTCTGTTTGAGAGAGGGCCTTGCTATGAGGTTCAGGCTGGCCTTGAGCTTGTTTTGTAGCCCAGGCTGGTCTTGGACTTGCAGTGATCCTCCTGCCTCACCCTCCTGCGTGCTGGGATTGCAAGTGTGTGTCACCACACCAGGTTGCTTTTCTCACAGAGATAGAATAAAATGTGTATCTGAATGGATCCTGTGTATATCCTTCCTTTTTTTCTCATATTTTCCCCCTTATAATTGTAGGAGAAAACCAAAGAACTAGCAGAGAAGCAGGCCCAACTGTAAGTATGATTGGGTTATTGTTCCATCTCACTTGAATTTCAACTTCCCAGGGAGCCCAATCTCCAGAGGCCTCTAGCCACCTTAGGATCACCTTAGGCCCTCAGCCTCAGCCCTGTGCTGCTCTAAGTCCACTTCCCTCCTCTCCAAGTTCTGGGTGGGAAATTTCCCTAGTGGAGCATCCCTAGGACCATGTGGGCAAGGTTGTTGGGAAGCCTCCGGGCCCCCCTACCCGGTGGCTGGGTGAAGTGGCCTGTTCCCTGCCCCCAGGGAAGTGCTGGCCTGGATTCTAGGGCAGAGTATCACCCTTGCCAGTGCCTGGCAAATGTGTTTTCTATCCTTCCTGGAAAGGCCCTTTCCACCCTCCACTGCCATGGCTGTCTGGAGTATCTAGCAGATATGCCCACTGTGCACACCAAGGGAATTGCTCTTCCTGGCTTGTAAGGACAGCAGTGAAAGTGTTCACACTGGGGACAAATAATGCGGGAGGCTGTGAGCTGCACGCACCTGCTTTTGCAGTGTCCTGGAACATAACAGCCTGGTGAAAATTCCTCACAAAAGCCTGTCCCATGATTCTTTGCACACACACGAACCTGGGTTCTCAGTGAAGCTGCCCATCTATCTAAAAGCCACATGTACAGGTGACACTGAAGGCTGGTGAAGGTGGCTGCTGGGGAAAGAGCGAGGAAGGGCTCTGTGGTGCACATGTGCTTGCTTCCCATGCCAGAGTCACTGTGCCCTGCCAAAGTAGGCTTGCAGGACCCTCCGAGAGGAGGCCTCAGGCAAGCACTGGGCTGGGGCATGCTATCCTCATCATTGATCAGATGGACTCCAGCTTGGGACATCTCTTACTTACAGATCTCTCACAGCCGCCATTGGTGTCAGGAGCTGGGGTGATACCTGAATAGTAACAGGCTCTGGGGTCCCAGGCTGCCTGGGGGACAGGACAGGAATAGAACAGGACTTCGCAGAAGCCAGCTCCAGAGGCAGCACTGGTGCGAAAGGATATTGACAAAGGACAATAGCAGGTGGGGGGGAGCCAGGCCACAGGCACAAGGTGGCACCTACATCCCACAGTTTCTGTGTAAAGGGACTTGGTAAGAGTTGAGACAGGACCCAGTGTGGCTGTGGGGCCTCTCAAAGGACGCTGTCCCTGCTCTGTGCCAGGACAGCCCTAGTTCTGGGCCTGAGGAGGCACACAGTGGTGGGAGCATCTCCAGCTCTCCTCCTGCTCCCAGAAGTACAGGTGTGTGAAATGGGACCTTCCATCCTGGCACCTGTGCAGGTCAGCCTGCGCTGGACCCTGCTTTCCCCAACAGGAAGAACCAGGCCTTCCCTTCAGCAGCTGCCTGCTTTTGCTGTGTTTTCAGTCATTTGTTATTAGGGCTGAAACACATTCTGGTTCCCAGCCCTGATTCAGGTTCACAGGATTGAGTTTTTTTCCTTTTCCTTTTTAAAATAACAAGTCACGTCCAAAACAGAGCTGCACAGAACGTACCAGTCACCAGGAATCCGCACATGGGCTCATCGTCCTCGCATTTTGCCATATTCACTTTAGACTTCTGTGTCTGTTTCTTTTTAATCACATGCATGCAGATGACGGTGGAATTTCCCTTAATTCTCTGCATCTGGGGTTATCATATTTTCCCTGACTTTCGCTGGGAGTCCTGTGCTTCTGTGTGAAGCCCATGGTGACTGTTGACTTCTCTGCATGGAAAGCTGTGATCTGCTGATGGGGTGGGGGGTTAGCAGATGAAAGTCCCCCTGTCTGTTGTGTACACCATGGGGTGGGGTACAGTGTGGAATGACCAACTCGGATTGGTATCTTGTGCAGATAACACTTAACACCCTTCTCTCTGTCGTTTCTAGGCCTACATTAGGGTTGCTGTCAACCAGAGGCAGGGCCTCCTACAATAGACCTCTTGACCCCTTTCCCTGCTCCAGCCCTGGTTCCACCATTCTACCCCCAGCTCTAGGGGATCAGCCTCTTAGCCTGCACATCCAAGTGAGGTCTTTCAGCCCCTCACTTAGTATTCACCTGACGGAACCTCCTCTGGGCTCATTGACCATGTGGAGGGCAGACCTTTGTCCTCTGTGTAGCTGACTGCTGTCACATGTGTGCTGCATGTTCTTTATCTGTCCATTCACTGCTGGGTACCTGGGTTGGCTCCATGTCTTGGTTGTTAATAGTGCTGCATGAACTTGGCAGGACTGTCGCTCTGCTCTCATTCTGATAGTGTTTTCTGCAGGTGTATCCAGGAGTGGGACTGCCACATCCTACAGCAGCTCTGCGGTCTCTTCTCCCATGCTGGGGCTTTACACTGAGCTGTATCCCCAGCCCTTTCTTATTTTTTAATGTTGAGACAGGGTCTCACTAAATTGCAAAGGTGTCAGGCAAGGCTTGAACTGGTGATAGTCCTGGTGAGCCTTCCAGAGTGCTGGGATCACAGGCTGTGCTACCATGCCTGCTGCTCTGGGTGTAGTTGTTGAGACACTTCCACAGTTTCCCACGTGGCTGTGCTCCTTTGTGTCCTCAGGCCCAGTCCCAGGGCTTCCTTTTTGCAGTGCCTGTGTCTCCTGTGGTTTTGAGAAGCACCTTCCCCATAGGCACAAGGTGACACCCCCTCGTAGCTTTGAATAATTTGTTTTCATTAGGCGCATCCCATGGGAATTCACAGGTGAAATCAGTCTGTGAGTCTGTGAGTCTGTGAGGTATGATCAAAGGCATGGTGAATATTTCAAATACTTTTTAGTGTATTAACACTAAAGACACATTGACAGTATTGTAATTCCCTTCAGAACCCTCCCCCCACTTTGATCCCATCTATCCCATTGTTCTGGTTGTTTTCTACAGCAGTTCTGGGAGTCTCTAGTTGTGCTGTCCTGGCTACTTTCTTGTCCTGAGTCGATTCAGAACATTTCCTTTTTTAGGGCATTATGGCTTCAGGGAAGGGCCAGAAGTCACGTGGTGCAAGATCCATGAACAAAGTGGCTGAGGATTCTCTGTCATGGTTTCTTGAGCTGCCTTTCCTTTGGATGATGCTCGGGCGGAAGCAGACACCAAATGTTTGATCCCGCCCTGTAAAGACATTCTGATTGGGCCGGGGAGATGGCTCAGTAGAAGAAGCGCTTGTCTGAGTTCAATCCCCGGGTCTGAAAAAAAAAAAAAAAAAATTCTGAAAGAGGATGTCTAGTGCTATTCAGAAAGTGGCAAGGACAATGGGATAAACATGTTCAAAGGGCATTTTGAGGCTAATTCATGGCAGTATATCTTTCTATTACAGTGAGTATTTATTTATTTGTTTTGTCTTTTTTTTTAAAGATTTATTTTTTTTTAATTTTATTTATTTATTTATTTATTTATTTATTTATTTATTTTTTTTTTGGCGGAACCGGGGATTGAACTCAGATCCTTGCGTTTGCCAGTCAAGCGCTTATCCTACTGAGCCATCTCCCCGGCCCCGCCAGGCCCCCAAATTTTATTTATTTATTTATGTGTGTGTGTGTGTGTGTGTGTGTGTGTGGTCAGCTCAGCCCACCAGGGGCGGGGTTGGCTGGCATGTGGTGCTGGGGGATTGAACCACGGTCCCTGTGCTTTGCTAAGCTTGTTCTAAGTAGGTGCTTTAGACCACTGAGCCATCTCACCAGACCATGTTTTGTCTTTTTGAGACAGGGTCTTGCTATCAGTTCAAGCTGACCTTGAATTGACTTTGTAGCCCAGTCTGGCCTTGAACTCACAGCGGCCCTCTTCTCTCAGCTTCTGAAATACTGGGATTGCAGGCGTGCACTGCCATACCCAGGTGGAACCAATTCTTTAATGGTTGATTTACTTTTCCATTTTTTCTTTGTAACTTTTATTTCTCTGCAAAATATGTTTTCCAAGTTGAGATAAAATTGTTATTTTTTTTTATAGTTTTTCACCTCAATATATTTGTAGTTCTATTTCATTTAATGTGTTTCTATCTTTTTTTCTGCCATCTCTGAGTTCCCTTCCTAAGGATTGGAATATTAGCTGTTTTTCGGAACCCATTTCATGTCTTTTTCTAGTATTTTAGTTTCTATTCCCAGTAGTTTCTTTATTCTCTTATTTTTGTACAGATTTAGTTATAATTTCTTCTTGGATTCATAAACCGTTTTTGAAAGTTTTTTAACTTCTAAATGCATTAGGGGCCAGGGAGATAGCTCAGTAGAATAAGCACTTGCCTGGCAAGCGCAAGGTCCTGAGTGCAATCCCCAGTACTGCAGTAAATAAATAAATAAATAAATCCATGTGGTTTCTGCAGCCATGTTTTTACTTTTCATTTTGTTACATTTTGATGGGAAGACATGCTTTGTAAGATGCAAGAGTCTTGTTAGGACTCCTTTTCTGTCGAGTTTGTGATGAATTTTGTGAGCATTCTATTTGTACTTCAAAGAATACTTAGTTTATTTTTTGTCTAGAGCTCAAGGTATGTTTATGAGGTTAAGGTTATTATTTATTTAACACCATTAACTTTGGGGGGTTCTCTTTAAGCTCCCCTTTGGAGAAAACGATAACATGTCCCTTATTATTTGTGGATTTGTAAGTTTCTTTTAAAATTTCATCCACTTTGTTTTATTTTTTGTCAGTGCTTTGCAGCAAGGCTTATACAGCTTTAAGAGTGTCCTTTTAAAGTTGTGTCCCTTTTTCCTATACTTTTTACTGCCCTGCCCCTCTTTCCCTCATGTTAATACTCCTTCCCTTCACTTATTTTCTATTTGCCTGGCAATTCTTTTCATAAAGCCTTCACTTTCAACCTTTTTATGTCCTTTTATTTTTTGAAAGCAATTGTTTATCTAGCTTGCTTGTCTTTGTTAATGGAAAAGTTTGGTCCATTTGTTTTGATTGTAGTTACTGGTGTATTGGAATCTTCGCTGTCTGTGTTGTGCTTCTGTCTCCCATACCCGTTGCCTGTGTCGTCCATGGTTTCCCCTTGAACTGGGTTTTAGGAACGTCCCCTGTGGATTCAGGGTTGTTCTTAAG